GGTGGCCTACACTAACTGCTTGCTTGACATCCCTTTTTCTACATGGGTTCTTGTGTCTTTTTAGGTGCATCTTCTCTCATCTTCCATATCCCACCCCCAAGCAATAAGATGGTCATTGTAGTTTGAAAATATTTGGATAAAATAATGGAAGTCCTGCGTAGTAGGTAGTAAATATGGATTAGTCAGCAGATCTAGAGTACAGAATGTGTAAGCAGAAGCTAAATCTTTATGGTGCCTGTATCAAGGCTTTTGAAGGAAGGCGGAGCAGCCACCCTGGAGGGGTGGTGTGAAGCCCTGTACGTACTGCCTCTTTGTGACAGCTTGTAGGTCAGGGCAGAAGTTATGACGTCTACCTACCAGGCCAGTCGGGTAACTGAATTAGTGAGATATGGAATGGGTCTTAAAAAAAAAAAAAAAAAAAAAAGAGACAGACTGGGGTCCTAGCAGATAGACCAGAGCATGTTATATATAAAGGCTGCCCTCCTTTCATACAGGCCCAGGATTGCCAGATCTGTCTGCCTGCCCTCACCCATAAACCTGGACATCCTGAATTTGTGAAATTTTCTGACTTAAAAGTCTGTGTTTTAAATATGTTTAGCCTGTGGACTACCATTTTGTACTATATGGATTGATGGTCTCCAGGTCTTACTTAAAAAGACCTTTTCCATATTTTTCAGGTGGCCTTTTAGCTCATGAATTAATTGTGCCGGTAAGATGGGATTGTATCCCACGCTGGTTTGTGTTTGTTTTTTTTTTTTTTTTTTTTTTGTAACTTACATGCTTGAAAATACCAAATTTGGTATGCCCAAATTTTACTATCCCAGACTAATTCCAAGGGCTCTAGAGGAATTAGCTCAAGAAGTCTTAACTGTAGACCCTCAGGTCTCCAGGCACAGGATGGAGAGTCCTGACTCCTGAGAAAGCATCTCAGTTTAAACATGAAGCTGCATGTCCCCGCTTACTGAATGATTTCAGACCCCACTTTCCCTTTGCCTTCTCCAGAACTTTCAGAGAGAAATACTTGCTCTATGAGATTCTTCTGACAGGCATCCATGTGTTTTCTCTCTAGGGAGACCAAAAGCTTTTGAACTAGGGCCTTGGTACAGGTTTGTCCATACTTTGGTGAAGTGATTTGTGTATAAGCACATCTTGGTTTCATTAAACAGGAAGTGGTTCAGGGTTCCGTCTAGTGCCCAGCGCGGGGACAGCATTGCTCTAACTTACAGTACCTACAGCAGATAGTACTGTATTCTCTGTAATGCTCTGGGCCAGCATTTGACTAGCCCTGACTGACAGACTGAAATTTTGTGTCTTGCAGATGCTGTGGATGGAGTGATGAATGGCGAGTACTACCAGGTACAGAGTACTCTGATTACATTAGAAGATAGTGGTTGAGTCCTCCTTTCCTGTGATTTGAATTGAATTGACTGACCTAGAAAGGACCCCACTCCTTTGACTTCCCTAGATGTATTAGCATTAGGTATGTTACCTGCTAAAATGGAAGGATTTGAAGAGAAGTGACATTGATCATTGCTTTTAAAATACTACTGCCCGGCCCTAGTGTTACCAGTTTTATTCTCAAGAAATGAGCCTTCATGGTGATGATGAGAACAGTGACTAAGTTAAACTCTATGTGCCATGTAGCGTGTCAGGCACTGTTCTACTTAATTCTCTCAACAGCCTGGGGGACCTGTACTTTTGTTCCTGTTTTACACATGAAGAAACTGAGGCACAAAGTAGTCTAAAAGTAACAAAGCTGGTATGTGGTGGGGCCAGCATTTGAACCTTTGAAATTATATGGGGCAGGGGGAGGAGGGGTAAGGAGGGCTGGAATTTTTGGTGACTTGCCATTATTTTCCCTCTGTATCACTAAGCGTTGAGTTGCTAGCCCAGCTCAGATCAGCTTAAACCCAGAAAAGTCTTACCAGTTTGTATAACTGAAGTGTCCTAAGACCAGGACGCGGATTCCATTCCCCTAGGACTCTGGCTCTGCTTGCTGAATGTGCATTTTTGTGCTCAAGCTTTTTTTATGGTAGTTGAATGGCTGCAGCACTTCTGGGCTTCGCATGTGCATGTCGTATTATCTAGAACAAGATGGAGGCTTCTCCTCTTGTCCCAACCACCTAACAAAAATCCCGCATTTCCTTCTGGACGCACTGGACGTAGTCATTATAGCCTGGGGAAATCCCACGATGCTTTGCTTATGCTTGGGTTTCTGCCCTTCCCTCAACCGGTTAACTGGCAAGAAGGATGTTCGTCTAATTGGTTTAAAACAAGGATGGACTGACTTTTTCGTGAAGTACAGGTAGTAAACATTTTAACCTTTGTCATAAGGTCTGTGTCCAACTACTCTTGCTGTAATGTGAAAGCATCTCTAGATAGTATAGAAACGAATGGACATGGCTGCGTTCTGGTAAAAATTTAATTATTAAAACAGACAGCTGGCCTGGACTCTAGTTTCCAGTGCCTGGTTAGAGGGAGACAGATTGGGGTTCAGATCCAGGCTCTACCTCCTACTAGCTGTGAACTGGACATGTCCTTTTCTCGATGCCTCAGATTAGTCCCCCAGACGTGAAATGGGAATACAAACTTGACAGGTTGCTTGGGAAATAAAGCTTTTATGTGCTTGACACATCGAAAGTGTTAAGTTAGTTACTAATACTTTCAGTAATTCTTCCATCTTTTTATAGTCTGATTAGGTTACCCTGGAATTTATATCCTAGTTCAGCAGGTGAAAAATTTTCTAAAGATAAAAGTGTATTTGAGTTTTATCAATTTATAAGCTGTCAGACCTTACCCACTATAAAGAAGAATCTGTCCCCTGCCCCCCCCCCCCCCACAGACACACCTGTGACCCTGTATGCTTGCCTTTTTATTCTTTTCCTTGGTGTGACCAGTGACTGCGCATTTTCTTTTGGACTCTGTTTTACCCAGAATTCACATAGTTTGGTTAGATGGTATTAAGTGATCTTTTTCCTGCATTGTATAATAGCATTTTGAAGTTTTAGGTCCTAGGCTTTGCTGTGCAGTGTATTTACCTTTTTTTATTGTGAAGATCCCACATAAGCTGTGTGGGAAAACACTTTTTCCTAATAAGTCTGTTACCCACCTCCCCGGCTTTCCTCTCCCACTGCCGTCCCATTCATTAACAGGTGTGGTCATAACTACTCTGCCTCCCCTGTGGATTGTAAGGATTGTGTGCAGTAGTGTTGAGAGCTCCCTGTGAGCATGTAGGGTTGTGCTGCTGATTTTAAAGTAATCCTTCAACATTTGACAGCAGCCATCAGTGCTGTGCCTAACCAGGGCTATTCTATCAGGGGTGAGGTACGTTTCGGGAAGGTGTGCTTGGTGCTGATAGAACACAATTGTGTTTTGTGTTAAGGAGAGTAATGGTCCAACAGACAGTTACGCAGCTATTTCACAAGTGGATCGATTGCAGTCAGAGCCTGAAAGTATCCGTAAATGGAGAGAAGAGCAAACGGAACGCTTGGAAGCCCTTGGTAAGGAATCCTTTTCTGTCTTTGGGTGTCTGTTTTCAGTGGAATAGTTGACCTTGACTCTTAGCCCTTTTTAACTGAAATTGGCTAATGTCCTTATCTAGTTTTTAGGAAGGTCTCTTCCTTAGCCTGAGAGTCACAAGGCTGTGCACAGGGAGATGCTTGATCACAGGCCATTTTGTAAGGATTAGGGCAGCTCCAAGAGCCCCCACTGAGTGCATTCTCTCAGGAGGAGCAGACCGGGCTGTGGAGAGTCCTGAGCTTGAAGTGAAAGACTAGGTTCAAAGCCCAGCCTTGACTCTTCCCAGCTGTGGGCACTTGGTGCTTCAAACCTCGCAGAGTCTGTTTCTTCATCTGTGGGGTAGGATCAGTGTTAGCAACTCCAGGGGTGGTCTGAGATAGTATTTATGAGAGCTTGTATAAACTTGAAGGTCTCTGTTGAAAGACTTCAAAATCCATTTATCATTTCTAGGCTGAATTTAAGTTAATGCTTTAAGAAGGAAATGTGAAGTATGTTAGAAAACATGTACAATATGGTTTTCCCACTCTAATATACCTGGAAGCTAAGTTCTTCTGTTTCTGTGGGTGAGGAGAGTGAGAATCCTAGAATAAGTTTTTGAATCACACAGCTAAGAAATGCTAGAGTCAGAATTCAGCTTACATCTGCCCCACTTCATAATCCATACCCACCCATCCCTTCAGCCACATTGCGTTTAGTGTACACTGTCCCACCAGGTGGGCCAAGCCCCAGGTCAGTGCCAGCTAGCCTGGCCTTTGGGGAGGAACTGTGTATATGGATTGTTGCTTTTGGTCAAGACCAGAAGACTTGGTATCTGTACATAGGTGGGTTGCAGAGGTATGGCACAATTTGGAGATAAAGCCATGGGGTATTCTTTTCTCAACTTTTTATTAAAATTGCAAGCACGGGGTGCCTGGCTGGCTCAAGTCAGTAGAGCATGCAACTTTTAATCTTGGCGTCATGAGTTTGAGCCTCACGTTGGATATAGAGATTAGTTAATAAAATTTCAAACACCAAATAGTTGAAAGAAGAGTAAAATGAACTTGTGTGCACCCCCTGGGTTCAGTAATTAACATTTTGCCATATTGGGTTATCTTTATGTAAATGAAGTATATATGTGTGTATGTTTTATACACACACATTTCTGATCCACTTTCAGATACATCCTGTATTTCATGCCTAATATTTTAACGTATATCTAGAAATAATTATATTTTTCTGTGTACTTACAATGTCAGTATTATTATTCCTTCTTGAGAACCACTGAATTAGTAAAAACTTAATTGCTTGTTTTTCATGTGGGGTAATGGACACTTAGAAGTGTGACCCAGTTAGTGCCAAATCTGTTCTCTTTCCAACCTGGTCTCTGTGGCTTTCAGAAAAATGGGCACACTCCTATTTGGACCTTTATGGTACTATCCAGTAGTCCTTTCTTTGATGGAAATAACAAAAGATACCTGTTCTGTCTGGTAACCACTAGCTACATGTGGCTGGTAAGCACTTGAAATGTGCCTGGTAGGATGGAGAAACTGAATTTTTAATTTAATAAACAGCCACATGTGGCTTGTAGCTACTGTATTGGAGAGCAGCTTTAAAAAGATGAAAATTGTCTTCATGGTGCTAGCAGCTTTAGTCCTTGCTTGTTTTTCATGTGTCTCTTCTGAGTGGGCTGAGAGGCAAGACTTCACTAGTACAAGTATTTGTCCTGTTACCAAGCCCAACTTTTTTCTCTTTCCCATGGTTTAGCAAAGTTGTCTTCTCCATGGAAAGAGTACACTTTGGTGTCTGGAAAAATTGCAATCTATTTTTTTTTTTCGATTATCAGATTGGGCACTTTGGGAATATTTCATGAAGTGTTTTCTTAACTCAAAAAGCTTTTTTAAAGGAAGTCAAACATTTGGCTTTGCAATTGAATTAAATTGGTCTGTGAACTAGGTGTTTCTTCAGTTTTGTTTTTTTCTTTGCAAGAACTGTGAGAAGGCACAAGATACTAAAAATAGAGAACCCGTATGTGTGGTTTTCAGCTTAGCTGGTGACTGCGTTCTCACATAGTTCTCTTTTCCACGAACAGTTATAAGGATTGCCAGAAAAGACAGCTGTCCATGTGCCCTGCTCTTTAAAGGGGCTCATCCTTCCCTCCTCCTCCTTCTGCCCAGATGCAGAGGTTGTATTGTGGTTTGGATCTTGGTCCTATTGAGCTAAACATTTAAGAATTCTAAATTTTTTTTTTTTTAAGATTTTATTTGGCAGAGAGCACAAGCGGGGGAGGGGCAGTGGGAGAGGGAGAAACAGACTCTCTGCCAAGCAGGAAGCTAGATCCCAGGACCCAGAGATCATGACCTGAGTCAAAAGCAGGTGCTTAACTGACTGAGCCACCAAGGCATCCCAAGAATAAATAACAAATTCTTATTACCAGTATCACTTTTCAAAAAGCTTTTATAAAGCTTTTGTCTTTCAAGAAGACAATTTAAAGGATGGTTTTATGCAGTAACTACAATCTGTGCAGATGGTTAAAATTTTTATTTAGTTTTTCAAAGATAAATTTCTATGCAATTTTGTTCCCAGTATATTAAAACTTAAAAAAATCATTAGACTACACAGATGGGAAATACCAATCAAAAAGTAATGTTTCAGAAGTGATTTCACTACTCTTGAAAAGAAGATTTTAACCTTGGTGTTCTTCAGTTTCTTGTCCCTATGCACTGCCAGCCCACAGCACCTCCCACTGCATCACAGCTCCCTCCATCTCTTCTGTTTGATGCCGTAGACATGTATCAGAAGTCTCCTGTATAGGCAGGGTTTGAAAGACAGTGGACAACGTGGACCAGCAACAAACTATCAACACCGTAGAAAAGCCCCTGGATCTCATCAGGCTCAGCCTGGATGAGCAAATTTATGTGAAAATGAGAAATGACCGAGAGATTCGAGGCAGATTACATGCATATGATCAACATTTAAATATGATATTGGGAGTTGTGGAAGAAACTGTGACTACTATAGAAATTGTTGAAGAAACATATGAAGAGATATATAAATCCACAAAACGGAATATTCCGATGCTTTTTGTCCGGGGAGATGGTGTTGTCCTAGTTGCTCCTCCATTAACAGTTGGCTGAAACAAAGAATTTATCGTGTATGGAATATAGATTTTGTATGATTGCCTCTTTCAATGTAGAAGACATCCAAAAGAGAAACCTGCATTCATTTTGATATTAAGAAATGACCAAGGATTCTTCCACTCCTGAAATGAGTTGATTTGCAGATAACTCAAAAATTCTTTTTTTTTTAATTTATTTTTTTAAAGATTTATTTATTTGTTTATTCATGGAGAGAGAGAGAGAGGCAGAGACACAAGCAGAGGGAGAAGCAGGCTCCATGCTGGGAGCCCGACATGGGACTCAATCCCGGGTCTCCAGGATCACACCCTGGACTGAAGGCGGCGCTAAACCACTGAGCCACCCGGCTGCCCTAACTCAAAAATTCTTAAGCTAAAGGGTATTTTAATTTTTTTTCCAACTCTTTCAATAAATGTGATCACCAGGATGCAGGAAAAAAAAAAAAGTCTCCTGTATAAACTTGAGTCATCAGTGGAAATCTGAATAAAAGAATTCTGAGTGGGGTGCCTGGGTGGCTTGGGTCATGATCTCAGGGTTTTGAGATTGAGCCTCATGTCAGGCTCCACGCTGGGCTTGGAGCCTCAGAATCTCCCTCACCCCCCAACCCCTGCATTTTGCTCTCAAAAAAAAAAAAAAATCTGGTATCACCTTCTAATAAATAACCAGTTCTTTGCAATCTGAAACTTTGGGGGAGTTTCTAGCTGCTAGCAAGCTATTTCTAGTAGTTAGACACCGCCTTCTGCAGGTTACTGTTAAGACTTTCTTGCAGAAGCCTTAAAGATGCCCCCAGAGTACTTAATTTCTTCCCTTTGAGTGATTACTTGCCACCACCACCACTGCTTCCTACTCTCTCCAAGGATGCTAGCTAGTTATAGGTTGGGCTCAGTTCTGCCACAAACTCACTGCATTCTAAGCAGGAATAGATGTTTTGTGGTCCTTCTCACCTCTTAACATCTATATTCTACTCTTCCCTGGTTCCTGAATCATTTCTGCCTTGGGTAATTTCAACAACAACTCTCTGCTTCGTAGAAATGCTTCTACAAGATTTTTAGTTAAGAGAGTGCCACCTTGTGTTTTACAAAACCATTGATTATCAGAGTTGGGGTGTTAAATCTAGTTTATGAGAAGATTTTGTAAGATTATCTAATAGATTAGTATCAGTGGTCCACCCTGAACTAATATTAGCATTATTAAAGAATCATCCTGGGGCACCTGGGTAGTATAGTTGGTTGAGCACCTGACTCTTGATTTCAGCTCAGGTGGTGATCTCAGGGTCCTGGGATTGAGCCCCTCGTTGGGCTCTGCACTCAGCACAGTCTGCTTGAGACTTTCCTCTCTCCCCCCCTTCTGCCTCCGCCACCGCCATGCTCATGTGTGTGCATGCACGCTCTTTCTCAAATCTTAAACAAAAAAAACCCTCTATAATTGCTTTTTCTCCAGTTGGAGCCCCCAAAGGCTTTTTTCTATGTATCCCACCCTCCCCTGCTCTCAAAAGAAACCATAAAACTAGTGAATCCACTAAGAGGTCAGTGGACTGGAAGAAAATGTGAAACACCTCAGACAGAATCACTAGACTCAGAGACTGGATGTACAAATAGGGAAAATAGAATTTTGTCTTCCCTCCTGACCTGTCTCTCCAGCACACACGGACACAAACTTGCACACACCATAAGCTTAATAAGACCACAAGAAATTGATGAAGCAAACTTTAGTTTGTGTTTTGCCTCATTTGTATTATTTTCCTTCCTTTCAAAGATGCCAATTCTCGGAAGCAAGAAGCAGAGTGGAAAGAAAAAGCCATAAAGGAGCTAGAAGAATGGTATGCGAGGCAGGACGAGCAGCTACAGAAAACAAAAGCAAACAACAGGTTAGTCTGTGGTGCTGCTAGCACTGCTTGCTTTCCAAGATTGAATCCCATTCATTTCTAACAGCCAGTAGAGTTCTCACATGCTGCCTCTTCTAGTGTGAAATGTCTTCTGCAAGTTTTGGGAAAAAGTACTTGAAACAAAGGTTGCAAGTCTCTTGGGTCTTGGGAGCATAATTCAGCCTGTCCTTTAGTCATCCCAGTTGTAATGAATTTGGGTCTTCAGCTAAGAGTTTGGTTAATCCATATTGCTTGTAATAGTATAAAACAGCAAAAGGGAAAGATAATATGGATCAAATCTACAAGTGGAAATGTAACCCTGAAATGAAGGGCCACTTTCATGGATATACCAGGAGCTCAGTACTTCTAAGATGATTATAGACCTGGTCATGTTGCATCCCCTAAATATAACCCTGCCCTCTGAAAGCTGCTTTACAAAGGGGTCCATTAACAGAAAAAGGGGCCCGTAACAGGGGTGACAAAACAGTTTGTAATTAAGTAGCCAAGGATGTTTAGACATGGTGACTTCAGAATTAAGGGTTTTCTGGGTAATTCTGTGTCTAAGAAAAATTTGATTTGACTTTTTAAAAATGTTCTTCACAGTGTGCTTATTTACTGAAGGTTAAGTAGTTGTGGGGAGAAACCAAGTTCGTGCTCCTGTCCCCACTGACCAGCACCATTGGTCTTTACTATTCCTCGCTTAAAGTCCACTTGGAAGCAGCTCAGAGAAAGATGGAGGCAGTGCTGCTGGCCTCAAGGCCAGGTCAGTGGCCTTCCCTACTGGATTCAGAGCCCATCTCTCACTCAGTGGTCACTCCACTACCTCAGTTGAGAGAAAGGCCAGACTGAGCCCCAGGGTATTTGTAATTTTCAGTAAAGAGCCTTTGGTTCCTACCCTCAGAGTTTAAGTGCTTTTGTCTCTGACAGCTCTTAGATGGAAATGTGCTAGAAAAGAAGGAGCAGACTGCTTTGCCAGCCAGCCTGTGCTAATTATTGTAGGGCAGCTACGGCAGAACAGAACTGGACTGTTCTGTGTGGTAGCCTTCAGCTACCTATTTGTTGGCCATCCTTGGTTCTGTCAGCTGCCCCTTAGACGGCAGGCTGCAGCTTGTGTCCTGTGGGGATGTATTCTCTAGGTGTGCCTCTTGGGATCTGAGTGAAGTTGTGTGTGATTAGTATGGTGAGGACTGCTCTCTGGTCTTGGTGTTGAGTTGCTCAGGGTAGCATTAGCTACCAGGGGTTCTCCTGAGCTTGCGATCAGTTTGAAGTGCTGACAGGTCCAGGCTGCTTTATTCTGTGCTCACTCAAGATGATTTACCCCAGGTACAAGTTCAGATCTCTAAGGGAAGAAGAGTGGGTACATGGGTACTTGGTGCAAGCACCGTGTGAGGCCCTGTTTATCCTACCAAGTTGCCCATGAGTCATTCTGCCCTGAAGTACTTGGTAAAACCAGGCTGACCCTCCCTGTTCAGGATCCCTGATGCGTAAACAAATTGATGTACAGATTCTCAGACGTAAATGACTATGTTGGGAATAGGCTTCTAATGCCTGAAATTTTTTCAAGCCAGTTTTGCTAATCTGTATCCCTCCTGTGAAGAAAGGGGCTCCATATACAGCTTCAGCTGTCCTTGGAGCAAATAAGCCTGTTTTTAGGAGCTCAGTCTCCAGGTTAGTCCCTTCAGTTTGGATTTAGAGCTTTAGTGCCTTTCTTGGGTTGAATGGTCTCATGGATGAACTTTCCAAGTTGCAGAGAAGGGAAGAGACTTAAACTTGCCATTAATGGAGAATATAGAGCTGTTTCAAAACGAGGTCACTTGCCTCGGAGAAACCTTGAAGCCTTGGGCTGACTGTGTAAAACTAGTAGCACACTGGTCATCGTCACCAGGGTTCCAGGATAGAAGGGATGGTTTTGACACTTTATTCCAAGTTTTCTTCATGGGCAGGGGCAGGAGGAGCCATTTACAGCCGTTGCGGAGGACTTCTTCCAACCCCTGGAGACTTTAACATTGCTGGCCACTCCCCCTCCATGTTTGACTCTAAGCAGCATCCCATCGGGCTAAAGGAGTAGGTCCCATTTATGTAAAGAAACTGTGTCTGTAGGTAAATAGGGGATGTTAGGAGTAAAAGAAGAATGCTCATTTCAGGCATGTGTCCTTTTCTCTGGATGACTTTAGCAGCAGCTGGATGTTTAAAGGAACCCCAAAGATGAGGGAGGCAGAGCAGTTTGAAAGAAGAAATGTGGTAGGTAGCGAGAGCCTGTTTTTATGAGGGTATAGCATCAGGCCTCCTGCCTTCTAGGTACCCTGAACTAAATCAGCACATGTGTGCCAGGCACGGTGCTGGGCAGTAGGCAGATGACAGTCAACACATCTTGCCTTCATGGCCTCTGTAGCCTGGTGTCCCTCCTCAGTTTGGCTTTTCTTTTATCCCCACTTGGGGCCCAAGTATCGCTTCAGAAGAGCCATGAGTTATTAGTGACAGCTTGTGGGGGAAAAAATCTCCATGGGAGCCAGTCATAACAGTGTTTACCTGAGACCCCAGACCATGTTCCCTTCCAAACCGTGACAGAAACATTTCCCCTTTTACAGGTAGCTCTGGTGCTAACTTTTCACCTCTTTCAAGACTTACAAAAGTTTGGGGAATCCATGATTCTCAGTGATGGCAAACATTTTTTCCATGCCCACCGGGGGCTCTTTATGTGTGTCGCCTCCTGAGCACCCTGTGGTCAGGCCCACGTTCCTCCTCCCGTTTCCCACAGGCTTCCCTGAGGATTGCTGCTTGCAGGCCCCTCTGGTGAGTGAAGAACAAACAGGTAGAGAGGCCGCCTATGTTTGTCATCATTTTCCATTTGTTCCATTTGTCTGTAATGGGGCTATGCTGTCAGTGACAAGTTCTTTAGTCTGGGGGCTAGCTGCAAAGGAGCAAAAGCCTTCAAGCTTTTGTTGTCTTAGTGATGTCTTGACCAGAGTCATTCAACCTTTATTTTCTACCAGTAGAAGCAAGCACAAGTTGAAACTGATTAGGGTTAGCCCTTTGTGTACACTAGAAGGATTATGCCTTTACAAGGTGGCCTGCCTTTCCTTTCCCACCCACTCATTTTGCCCACAAACAACTGTTTTCCTGCTGACTCACTTAGAGTTACAATCAGGCTGTTCTTTTTGCTTTCTTTAAATTTCCACAAAACAGCACTTATGTATAAGCCAAAATGGGAAAGAAGGAAGGCTATGTGTGAGTTTAAAAATAAACTGAAATAAAATTACTAGAATTTTCCTTCAAATAAATGAGCGAGCCTAGGTTAATGAGCAGGCATTGATGGTCCTTAAAAATGTCCCTTCCACTCCTGTGCCCCAAACTGACCTGGCAAAGGACAGGGTAAGACTCCTGGGGGCAGGTTTCCTGCTCACCCACAGTGGAGGGGGTGGGCTGGCTGGGCCCAGGGATTCAGCCTGGGGTGACAAGGTCTAAGCGCGCCTGTCCTCTGGGGTAGAAATGCTTCT